AGTTACGGTTGGGATTTCGTCGCGAGGATGGTCGATAGTCGCGCGGTGGAATTTCATATGAGATAGTCTTTCGTTAGACGGGAAATGAACGCAGGCTCTAAATACTTCGGTCCGACTGGAGTTCTGTTCGGAGACAATCGACCACTTGTGGCGAAATCCCCACCGTAACTGCGATTGAACTGGAACTGAACTTTCCCCGCATGGAAATGGGCAAAAGAGAGTCGGTGTTTCGGCAACTTTCAGGGAGGAAACTAGTGACTCGATCAACGTTTGGTGTCTCGACTGAATGGGATGCGAATAGTGAGATATAAACTAAAAATAAAACAATCAGCAGTCTTACAACTTGCGAAAAAAAAGTATATAGGGTAAAGGCACCAGTTTGTGGACAGGTTAAGGAAGTTTTCCTATTGAAAATTGCGTTATGTTCGTTAGGGTAATCAAGAAACCACTTGATTGGTTTCAATGGGAGGCCACTTATCATAGTTTGATGCCCAAACCCTAAAGAAAATAAAAAATATATATACTTTTGCAACAATCGCTGTTTAAATGGATGTGTTGATTTTCACGTGGTTCCAGTTTGTGGACATCCATGGACATAGTTTGTGGGCACCAGTTTTTGTCAACAATTATGAATGTACGTAGGTCGAATAGAAAAATATGGGCATGATACATGTACAGCAATTATATATATCTTCAATGATGTCCTATTAAGAAATATCATTGGAAGAATTAAGGAATTCAGGGGTGCTAGGTCTAAAACTGAGCGAAAATATCCAAGTTCACTCATGCTGATGGGTATGCATAATTTATATGGTGGTTGACAGGCAAGAGCAAAACATGGAGCATTTGAGGAAATAAACTTTCGGCCTGAATATTTTGGAATGGCAAAAAACGCAAAATTGTCCACAAATAGGCGCCCGTCCACAAACTGGTGCCTCTATCCTAGAAAATATCAGGATTTGGGATTAACGGAGAAATCTGAAAGAGTACAACATCGTGCTGGAGGTGGATCTCAAACTTCACGAAATGTCGGTGCTAGGACGAAATTCCGCCGGGAAAAAAATATCGCCATCGATTAAACGTCAAGACCCACTTCCTTTATTTTTCAGAGGATATTCTAATTCATCAAGAAAATTGTCACGGATGAATAGCAAGAGGAACTCCGCACACTTCTGAAACCGCAATGCTACGAGATTCAAGATAGATATGCCGGGTTACTACTAATTATTATCTTTGACGCACTGCTTGAAGACTGCACCCAGAATAGTGGGACTGCAGCATCTCTCTGCGGAGTCGCTCGCTTGCTTCGTCTCTGAATACGACTGACTGCTTCTTGAACCTGACGAATTCCGCTTTTCCATGCGATCACGAAATCTGGACTCGTCTGTTTCTACCACGATGCCGTGGCCACCAAATCCAAGTGATCGTATCTGTCTAGTCAAGATGAATCAGTCGACTTCGACGATATTCTAGAATATACAGTTGAAACTGTCTTTTGGCACAACATCGCTTCGCTGCGGAGGATTAAAATAGGTTAATTTAGTAGGTTTTCCACCCTGACCGCGATTTCCTACATTCTCACTTACCTGAGTGTGAAGAAAGTGCATCTTCCCCCACCCCCTCGCCAAAAGGCTGACATCTTGCATCGGAACATAGGTACCGTTCCCCAAACATCCAGTTCACATTCTGGAATCAGTTGATAATGCTGTGGAAATGTCATCAAATCCACAGTAATTATTATAATCAAATTACTGTGCGTATCCGATAGCTTTCGAGACTTTTAAAGAATATTAATACTGTGACAAGTCGATAGTTGGCCAATGACAATTTACACATTGAGGATTCAGGAAGCCAGTGAAGTTTTTCTCTTGCTTGGTTACGTGTAAGAACTTGCAAGTATTTTAATCCCTCTCTCCGAAACAGAAAGAAAATATAGAGAAATTAGCGGGGGGGGGGGGGGAACTTGGAATGGCAAAGGAAAGGATTACCTCACCCCTTTACCTGCTTCGAACAAGTTCCCCCAACCCCCACCTCCCCTGCTGTTATATTCCAGATTAAGTAAGCTCAAGTCCCCGTGAGCTCCTTGATTGCAGTCTGAGAAGAGATTCAAACAAGCACAACCACGATTGACAGTCAGGGAGCGTCATTACTTTTTAGGGAGGATTTTGCTGGATGAAATTGAATATTCTATCTAAACTATAGAGGCCGTGAAACTTGAGTTTCTACCAGTAATTTTTTTTTACAGCTACATTTTTCCAGCTCACGTAAAAATGCAGCAAATCGAATTTTTTTTAACTACTGCCCAGCTTGAGCACAGATGGTCCAAGGCACTTCTAATTCTACTATCCCATGCACTTCTGACATCGCATGTGTGTTGGAGCGTTGTTAGAAGTTCTGTGATTTCAATCGCAGCAATTGTGTCGGTAATGTTTGCTTTGCTGAAGGGTTCGCGGATTATTTATGAATGTCCAGGCTTTCAAATTCCCCAACAATAAATTGCAACGTTACAGCTGTTTCGTGTTTTATACATATATAAAAAATGCATTAATGGGCGTCAATCGTGTACTAACGCGTACACCTTCGCAAGGGACACCCTGTGCAGGAGTAATCGATAACAGACTTCTCCGCTGCCATTTGGTAGTCCGTCTGCAGAGATAGCCCTGAGTTACGGGAACTATTAGAACACTACAATTGCCAGTTATAGCCCCTCATTTCACCTTATCTCATCCTTCTGACTGGATCACGGCGACACACATGAAACGGGATCTGGTGGGTCCAGATAGATTTCCTCACTGGCAAGACATGCTTACCGCTCAGACTAGGACTTTTTCCCCCGAGGCTTCGCAACATTCATTCTGTAGTTTGAATCTTGCTCAATTACAGTTCCATGTATGCGAGGGCAATTCCAAAAATCTTAAGAATCGTTTTTGAAGAGGCAATTAATGAAATTTAAAATCTAGTAACACTAGCATGCGATTACATAATCCTTGCTGAACAAGTGTTTGAAGTTGCGTCTTCCTCCTACTTGTAGAGCAGTAGTGTTCACGTAAATGCGACGATGGTGGATGTGTTGGCGATGCAGGGAAGTTTCTCTTGCGAAGACATTCAACAAGTTGAGAAATTTCATGAGCTGAATCTTTCAATGAAACTCATGAATAACACTTGCTTGTTGAAACTTTTCAGCATATTCCTCAGCCAAAACTCTTCTGCAACACCATTTGCATCCTGGTTTTGTTAAGAAATCACTAAAACTCTCAGGCTGTGGCTCACAGTTGTTTCATGACTACAGAGAACCACATTGCAAGCATGATGAGCTGGATGGGCTCCACAAGTCCCACATTGCATAAGTGCATTTCAAAGATGTCCCAGAGAAAACTCATAGGGAAATCCCAAGGATAACCCTTTCTGATTGAAAAGGATCCATCTTCAAGCCACACAAGACATCCCAAACTTGTCACAGAGACATCCAATTAAAACTGTAAAAGGTCCCATATATGACTTTCAGGGACATCTTGGGGTCATAGAATGCTTGGGTGAGAAGATACTCCCAAGAAGTTCCATCCCTGAGGGATAACTCAGGAACAACTCTACACTGTATTAGAAAGTTTTGGTTATGGTACATCCAGCCAAGTTTCCCTCATCTTTTGAAAGCTTGTGTTCAGACTTCCAACCAGACATTACTGAACAATAACTCAAATAATTTTTATGAGGGCCCAAAAAATATAAACTTCCCAATGTCAGTTTTCTAAATACATGGCACAAAGAGCATTACTTTCTATACATAGCTGACTGGGATGAAAGTAATTGAAGGAAGACACTTCCTATCAAGGTCATGAACCCAGAATTCACGTCCTCTGTGCACAGGTTATGGGTTAAGCCCCACACAGCACAGAGACCCATCAATATTCCCAACTGGACAACATTTCCCAAGGGTATTATGAGACCTCATACAGGTATTCCCTTCAGGATATTGAGAAGTGTTTGAACATGTTCTTAGGATGTCTCTGTACTGTGTGGGAAGAAACTTGGAAATCCTTGCACATCCACCATATTCATTATGTCACCAAGGGACTTCTTCCTCTTCTCCGAGTTCAAGGAATCCCTTCAGGTTCGTGTCTGAGTGCTGAAGATGTCAATATAACAGTAGAGTTACCTCAAGTCTCAGACCAATGATGGAGTGGTAGATGCAATAACATCCATACTTCATAACATCAACTGAGATCATCTTGAATGGCCTAAACTTGAAGTATAAGCCAGTGATAATATTTTTAAATTTACTTTGTTACTTGTCCTAAAAATGAGCAGTATCAGAATGGATTCTTTCATAAATTAAACTCTGTCATCAAGTAGCCACCCAGTGATCTGCATCAAATAGACTGAAATGCCATTTTGCCTCATACTATCCATGAGTTTCCAATTTCAATTTCAAAGCAGGTCTCACATTCAACTGAATGCATGGGACAACCATGATTGCAAACAATTAAAAAAAAAAAAAGCTTATACACACTAATGAAAGGGGAATGTACAGCTCCATCCAATACTACAGCTAAGTTTTAGATTTATTATTGTGTGATCAGAATATGGAATATGTGTGATGGAACTGCAGCTTCCTACTACATGGCCTGACCACAGTCCAAAAAATTCCTAAAATATGGAAGTACTTTAAATAAAGAAGTACATATACCCTAGATGTAAGTTCCATATATCCTATCCTGCAGCTGTAGCTAGTGACTCATCTGGGGAATACCCATGGTTGCCAGAAATAACCAATCCTTTTTGGAGCTGTCCAGAAAGTCTGAAATGAAAAATTTTGTTCAAGAGTGTCAGGTTTTACAACACCCATTCTCTGTAAAATAAAAAAAAGCTCCTCAACCCTGAGATGCTGTGAAATAAAGTGTTGCTAATTAGATTCAGATGAAGAGCTGCCTTAGCCCTTATTCAAATATGTGGTTGCTCTCTTAACATGAGGTGCAAGCATAATATGCATCAAGGATGAGTGGTAGGAATTTATATCAAATTTATTCTATTTCTTGCACAAACGCAGAGTTTTTGCTCATAAAAAGAAAAACAAAACCAAACAAAACAAGGAAAAGGGGGTAAATCCACTCAGCCATCCCTGATTACAAAATCCAACCAGCAAATGTTCCAATACATTCAAATATTCATCTGAGAATGGGAAATAAATGTAAAAACAATGTTTCAGCAGCAAAACGAACTTTCAAAGCCTGTCTTTCATCCAACACATTCGAGAAGTAAAGGGGGGGGGGGAGAAACAGTGAGAAGAATTGAATGAAAGTAAGGCATGGTGAAGCGCAACTAACACAGACGAAAACAAACATCTTTTTTCTTCTTTTCTCTGTATATGAGTGACAGCAATGGATCACTGAATGCATCATTCTAGTCAGTAGAGGAGGATACGCTTCTCGACGGGTTTTCGGCAAATGGGGCACTCAGACATGCGATCTCCACACATCTGACATGTACCATGGCCACAAAGGAAGATCATGTTTTTCAGTCTGTCAAGGCACACTGGACACATTGTCTGTAAGAAACCAATCAAGAGAAAGAGACTAATAACATTTTGAGAAAGAAAATCTTCAATAAAAAACTGCAGTGCAAAAGGGGATGAGCCTTTGTCACCTGTTCTTTGATGTCATGAAGCTCATGTCTCAAGCGGTCATAGTCAGAGTGGTATGTGTCTTTGCTCCCGTTGTTCATCACGGCCACAGCAGGAGGTGGTACAACTAACAGCTTTTCAGGTGCTGAAAAAAATAAGATTTTCATTCAACTTAATCCATGCCAGAGAATAACATATCCTGTTCGAAAAAGTCCACATACAGGGGACACCACAGCACGTGGTGAAGGGGATGACTTTGTCGATTTGAGCCCTACATTGAACGCATTTCTTCATGAGAGCGGCACATCCATCACAGGCACACATATGACCACAGGGTTGGAAAAGGACTGCAGCCTTCTTATCCGAACACACCACACATTCTTCAATCTGCAAGGAACCAGAAATATGGGGCTCATTCACGAAATTTCCCACATGGAGGGCAAGGAGAAATATGGAGGGCAGTGATAGAACCTTTGTCTTGGATTGAACAGCCTGTTTGCAGATGAGGCACTTTTTGATGATGGGTGAGCAGCGAGAGCAGCAAGCAACGTGGCCGCAGGGACCAAAGAGAACGTCCCGCTTCGTATCAGAACAAACCATGCACTCTTCAAAATTTGTCGTCGATGTGCCATTATATGACCCTGGAGAACTGGGCTGAGAACCCCCAGATGTATTGCTACAGGGAAAAAAAAATCAATAAAATCATGAGAAGCCTGGAAACCAAAGGCTCACAAGAAAGATGATTCTAATAAAAGGGAATGGGACAAGGAACATCAAAAGAAAGTCTTGCTGAAATGACACAAAGCTCCTGTATCTCGTTACAGCAATCGCAACGTAGCCAGGAAGCGTGTAGACCTTTTCCGCTTTCAACTTATCAGCGTGAAATCCAATATCTATCATTCTGCATCAAAGCACCCAGTCATATCGTGCACTGGACGTTCGATACTGCGTGACATAAGGGACTAGACTCATTCTTACTTCTCCATTTCTCGTTGGCATTTCTTGAGAGCACGACACAGACTGGGATCGGGGCAGAGGTCGAGGGGGGTTTGACCCTTCTTGTTTCGGATCCGTATGTCAGCTCCATGTGAAGCCAAGAAGCAAGCTATACTCGCCGAACTCTTCTTGTCACTGCTTTGATTTCCAAGACCCATCAGGAGCTGTGAATTTAAAGAAGGGGAATCACTAAGAACAGGAACGAAAACCCATGAATTCCCCAAGGCGCCCAAATGGGTACAGTGGATGAAAAATAACTGCCTCATAAGCGGACCAAGCAGAGGGTTGAACTGTGGTATCCATTTACACATTCACAGTCCGGATTACAATATCCGAAGGTGACCGATACCTTCTTAGGTCTTGTTTATACTGTATAAGACAGATGTTGAGAGAAGAAATAGGAATTTAAGGTTCCACCCAATAAATAAGCCTGTTTCTCGGCTGGTGTTCCTACTTCCTCGTGTTCACTTCCGTCTCGAAAATGAGAAACCAAGTTAGTTGTTTCCATTGATGCTCATGCGACTCTGTTATTTTAGAAAAAAAAGGCACAAACTGAAACGGTACTTCTATCTGGTATGGAAGAACTGCTTCGAACTGGTATCGATCACATCAATGCTCTAGTAATCCTGTTATGAAAGGAATGACTGGAATTGGTGCCCTCTGGCGCTTTTACCCACCCATACGTCAAGGGTGGCATGAAGTCGAGGTTGGGCTCTTCAATTTTCTTCTTAAATTTCTATTATTTTCAATCCCTCATATACTATTTTCATGTGCGAAATGGAACAATATTACTCGGTCTCCTTCAGATTTCTCGAAACCACAACAAATGGAATTAAAGCGTACCTTCCCGATGTCCTGCATGTCTTGCAACTGGCGGAGCTGGGAGAGTGTGTGATGCCGCAACGCCTCGTGAAGGGGTGTATCGCCATCCTTGTCCGGGATGTTCACGTCGCATCCCTCTCGCACTAGGAGCTGAAATGATATGCCAATTCGCATTCTCACAACTCATGGAAGATTTACCACCACAACCATCACGACAATCATCATCATCGTAATTCATAAATCGTCCTTATTCACCCGAACAATCTGAGTGTGTTGGCGTTCAACTGCTAGGTGAAGCGCCGTCTGGAGATTCATGTTCTGCAGATCCATGTTAGCTCGTCCTAGTTTCACCAGGAGTTCTGCCACTTCACAGTGATTATTCAAGGCTGCCAAATGCAACGCCGTGTAACCATCGTCCTTCTTCTCGTCCACCATCCACGGTCGGGGCAATTTTGTCAGAAGGATCCGCATCGCACTGGGGGGAGGCGGAAAAAAAGGACCTCGAGGAAATCCAGAACGTGATGCATCGATGGTTCCTTAACCATGCAACCCAATTTTCTGAATGGACAACAAATTTCATTAGTGCGGAGGAACCTCTCTGCTCAATTAAAGCTACATCCATGACAGGCATATCAAGAGGCAGGACCACGTCCTTCACGAAAGAGCATTTACTTTAAGGGGCACCTCTAAGTGCTGCTCCGTTCTTCTCAGCCTTAGCTATCTTCTCGAAGTAGCGACACTGTGACAGCTGTGACAAGAGCTTTGACTTCAAGACGGAACAGGTCACTCCATGAGTGCGGGGATGGGAACATTTAAAACCCAAATAATTATTGAAGACAATATATGAAGGACCTTCTTTCATCTCCTTGAAAGCTGACGTTCGATGGAAGGAGGCATGGGAGTAACAGGGGTGCAAGGAGGCAATTCTCGCGCGCTCTCTTCCTCTCTCTTTCTCTCTAGGGGGAGGGGAGGATGAGCCGGGCCGATTCTCCTTGATGAGCCTAGCTCGCCTTGATTCCATTAGAGATAGCTTTGAGCAGCTCATTTGAAAGAGAGCTAAAGAGGGGGCAAAAGGATGAGGCAACGAGCCATCGCCAGCATCCGCGGACGTTCTGTGTTAATTGTAATGCACATGTTGAATTGTCACCTTCACAAGATCTACGGAGTCGATAACGGGGGAAGCAGAAGAAAAAAACTGGAAGAAGGAGTCTATCGTCACTAAATCGTACTCTCTCCAACCCTTACCATCGATCTCGCCTTCATCTGACTGAGATCCCTGAGAGAGAGAGAGAGAGAAGAAAGACGCAAGAGAAAAAGAGAAGGGGGGTGGAAGGGAGGAAAGATTGAAGCTAAGCTCCGTGAGGGGATGAAGGGGTCCAATTCTAGAAACTGTCGCCAGCAGAGCGCCAAGCACAGGCAGATGGACTCAGAGGCTCAGTCTAGTTCCGTTCCATCTCCTGCTGATTACTCCTTATCCTCGCAGGATAGGCCTTATACTGAGGAGCACGAATGAGGAATGATGAATAGTGAGCCACATTTACTATGAGAATGAATATACGGAGAGAAGGGAGGGAGAAAGAGAAAGAGCACCGTTTCTCATTCTCGACTCAATATCTCCTCCTCTCCACAATCATCTGGATTTCCTACCTTCCATCTTCCCCATTCTTCTTATTACTCCTATGATCCGACAGCTTTCGACGCGAGATTGTTCCATGTCTCGTCAAGAGCATCCTATTCAATATTATATTCAATTCAGAGTCCGTGAGGAAAGACTGCCTTATTGTGATTGATACAAGAACAATACGACTAGGAATAAGAACGATGATCATGAGTAGGACAGATCCCCCACACACCACTTCATCGTAGAGGCTGACAACGTTTGTATTGGAAGCCGAGTTAAACGCCAATCCTCGTTGGCGATACTATAAAAACAGTTATTGCAGCTCTTGTCGAATGGTAGAAGACGACCAGGGTAACAGGCACTTGCTGGCAACAGTAAGGATGCTCAAACCATTTTTCATCAAATGTGACCCTGATTGAAAAGCAGGAACGAGAGTGGAGAAGTACTATATTAATTCAAGAAATTGTGGATGAGGCAAAACTGACGAAGCGACCTAAGAAAGAAAACGGAATATAGCCCACTATATTTTTCGTCTTTAAGCAGAAAAAATATGCTGAGAGCCTTTTGCGAGGTGCGTTGGTGGGAAGCATGTTCTGTTGAAACCAGTTCTGGTGAAAAAATGACATTTCGCTACTCCTCTTGATGACAAAAAAAAAGGCTTCTGCTCTTCTGAATTCCTCCGAGACGGAAGGAGACCGAAGAGGGATGGAGGGCGGATGCCGTGGTGCATTAGTATAGGGGAGAAGGCCGGGCGGGGGCATGAGGGGGGGAGGATGAAATACAGCTGCGACGGAAAAAGTGACACGAGATGCGGAGGGGAGGGAAGAATCAGGAAGGGGCTGTAAAAAGACTGAAAAGACAGGGGGGACGAGGGCATGTGCTGGCGGATGCACGAGACATGGTCTTTCCTTCATTAGTGGCTGCAGCGGGACGGAAGGATACGCTATCCTGGCCCTCCAAGACATTTGTTTCAGGCAATCCACCTCCCTCCGGCTGTTCCTTCTGTGATCTCTGGAGTGAATGATGCATTCACATGCACACACGCATATACTGTACATCCTTATGGCTATCTAAATTCGTGCATGGCCCTTTTCTGATGCAACATCTTGAATTAAAGCCACGAAGGTATCGCGTTGAGCGCCCTTCTACCTGCTACACCTTCCTCCACCTTTCTCAAGTCAGCAGCAGGAATATAACCATCCATGCAGGAGACTCCTGGCATTGGCAGTACTGGCAAACATCCTGCAAGCCTTGCCAAGTGAACGAGAAAAATAACCTCAATGACGGTAAAGGGGCTTTCCCAGATGAGATCCATCAGTCGATGCGCCATGAGACAGCCGAGTCCTCTTATGAAGGATATTTTCGGGATTTTCATCCAATCTCCTTTAAAGCATGAAATTACACAGGCGCGCCATGCTATCGTCCAAAGAACAGCCAGCATCAAACCGAGCCATTCTAACATGGCACGGCATATACTGCCCATATCAATGAATGACGAAGGATATGTGCGTCGCAGAGTGGACAAAGGGACACGAACACACGTGAGAGCTTTTTGGGGCTGCAAAGTGATCCCATGTCTACACGATCCACGACGGTATGGGAGCAGGGCAAAGGGAACATAAGAGCCATTCGTCGAAAAACACATCCTTTGTGGGTCCTCGCGTGTGAACGGAAGGAAGGCATTGTCTTCTTACAGATACGGGAATTAGGGAGACGAGAATTCTATCAACATGTTCTCATATACAGGAAAACCTCGTTAATTCGATATAGGATACTTCGAAGTCATCTACATTCCCCGTCCGAGAGGATAGTGATTTGTATGCTTTAGAGCAGTGATGAGCAACCTTTTTTGACTGCGGACCGCAAGTGAACCTTTTAGGTTCCCGGCGGGCCGTATGTATTTTTTAAAATACTGAATTACAGGCTGTATGGCTGCTGAGTACCAAAATAATCCTAAGCCCGACTTTGTAAAATAGTAGATGCTAATGATATGCAAAGAACTAATTTTGACAAATTTCTCATCATTTTACTGGGCAAAATACCAAGCAAGCCTCTTGCTCCGAGAGCAGTGATACACTGACCATGAAGTGAGCGAGGGGATATTTGCAGCGGAATTATAGCATTTATGTTATATTTATTGTTTCCATATCTCCTGCAGTGGACAACGGAATCCTTGAGCGCACGTGCGCTCTACTCCGAGTGGCAGATAAGCGGGAAAAAAATTCAGTTGGTAAAGCCCCGCGGGCCGCACATCGGGACCTCGCGGGCCACATGCGGCCCGCGGGCCGCGGGTTGCCCATCACTGCTTTAGGGTATGGATAATTCGAAATACGGATACTATGAAATTCGAAGGCATTTTCTGGTCCCGTGAGCTGTAAATTCAGAAGCGTGTTCGTTTACTTCGAAGGGCACTTCTCCCTACGACCTACAGATGACCTGTCTCAAACTTCGCATTCTACTGTAAATGGCTGCAAAGCCGGCTAATTGCCTTGAAAACTTCATTTTTCTCTTCTGAAGGATTCTAAATATAGACTAATGCCCCCTTTCACTAAATCTCCCCCTCTACCCTTACCTATCTCATTCGCACCTTGTACGACCTTCAGTCAAAAAACTGCATTGTGGCACCACAGTCTCTCTCTCTCTCTCTCTCTCTCTCTCTCTCTCTGTGTTGTGAGTGAAACGGGGGTGAATGTGCCATGGCGAACAAGAGGAAGTACTGTACAACGAGTTAAGTATTTCACAGAAGTTGGAAGCCTATTTGTTGTTAATTTAATAAGTTATGAAATGGACGAGAAAGAAAAATCGAAGACCGATATCGCAAAAGAATTCGGCATACCGCTTTAAACTCTCTCCACATTCCTTAATAAATAACAATGGCCAAACCGGATAATTCAAACCCGCTTATTTCGAAGTCGATATTGTTTGGTCCCCTGGATTTCGAATTAACGAGGTTTTCCTGTAGTTTGAAAGTAACTTCCAGGACTTCTAATCCTTCAGTACCAGTTATGGGATGCTACCAAAAGCGCCAAATCGCGCAACTGTCCATACTTCAGCAATTCAAATTATTGATAAGCAATATGCCGTAACGAGTTGAGAGACCCTATTTATAATACTGCAGTCACTCCTCACACGTTCATAGATCCTTCATACAGGGTGTCCCAAAAATACGTTGTCAAATTAAAATACGCATTTTTCATTTTAAAAATTTTCGCAAAATTTTTGCTAATATACCATTTTGTAGCATTTTTTCTCCTCTTTCAGATAGACTTAAAAAATTTTCAATAGCTTTATCCTTCGTTATTTTAGAGATGAAATCAAACCGTGATGTGATTGAGCGTTTGTTCCAAGAAGGAAGAAAACAATCTGATGTTGCTCGCTTGCTGAATTTGTCAAGGCAACCCGTTCCCAAAGCCATCAAACGTTATAAGGAGACGGGAGGCAACAATGACCGCCCAGGAAGAGGCCGAAAGAGGACTGCAAACACCGCCGCCAATCGAAGAAAGCTCAAGAGCCGAATTTAAAGGAATCCAAGACGCTCAGCTAGGAAAATTGCCAAGGACATTGGAATATCCAAGACGCTCAGCTAGGAAAATTGCCAAGGACACTGGGATATCCAAGTCATCAACCCATCGCACGCTCAAAAACGATCTCCAGCTGAAGGCCTACAAGTTTCAAGAAGCCCATCTCCTCGATGATGACAAGAAGGGAACAAGATTGGAACGTTTTGCAGTCCTCTTTCGGCCTCTTCCTGGGCGGTCATTGTTGCTTCCCGTCTCCTTATAACGTTTGATGGCTTTGGAAACGAGTTGCCTTGACAAATTCTGCAAGCGAGCAATATCAGATTGTTTTCTTCC